TGAGGATGCGTGACGGAGATCATACGATGGCAAACAAACAAACATACACATATTAAATATACTTTTTTTCTTAAATGCGATGGTAGTGCAGTTTTAGTGATGCCGCTGTCTTTAGTAGTAGTTTGCCATTTCGAGCTTTTGTAGAGTTGATAGAATGTCATGCATATGGTCTAGTTGTCCTGATCGGCCAAATCGGACTGGAAAAATGAAAGATTAGACTTTAATGGCAGTGCTTAGTTATGCCATAGTAATACTTACCAAATGGTTGCGGTGCACCATTTCGCTTGTCCTGCATAGCGGCTTCATAGTCGTCATCGCTTGCTGACCTCTTCCCAAATCTGAATCAGGAAAATTCTCCTTCCTACTGGGTTAAAGTTAATGAGGAAGTATGAATTTCACGCTTACCTGACCAGCGCATTCCGCATGCCGCCTGCACGACCGAAGCGAACCAAGGCGTTACGCATCGCTCGTTTCTCAACACTGAAGGCAGAAAAGATATAAAATGAAAAAAAATGACAAAATTTCATGGAAAATCATAAACAGCACAATTAGATGCAAGTGATGCTCAACATTCAGCTAGTGACGTTATTTGAAAATGAGTTTCGGCATCTGGATTGTGCTCACTTTACGACTAGGATTTGTTTTTCAGACCTATCGCAATTTCGGGTTAGTTTGATGGGTATGTGAGCTTGAAGCGCGTAATCAGTGCTTGAACGCGCCATAAACCTGTCTGAATAGTTCCCGAAAGCTCATCAGTTGATTGAAAATCTACAAAGTACTTATAGGGCTAAAATTGTTCACCTCGAATCGTCTTGTGCCAATGCGATGGCGACCAGTATGGCAAGGAGACAAAACGTTGTCGAAGTTGATGATGGCATGTGGAAAATGATGAGTGGAAAATAAGCGAAGTGTTGGCCCTTAAATAATGGTGCAATAGCCGCAGGATACGTATGGACGCAATATTGCTATGCGAAACAGCCGGAGGCGTAGTCCACTCCAGACTTGGTAGGGATATTAATGCGAATATTGAAATGACGCGTTGGCTTATTCCAAATCGGGGAGTTTAGGTGTTTTATAGGGGAGAAGAGGGGCTAGGAGAACAACTAACGCAGTGGGGAAAATACGGCAGTCGAATCGCAACGAGCGGAGGGCTGGCTCTATGACGATTTTCTGTCAGTGGGATACCTATATGAAAATGTCGTACGAGTCCAAAATTCTATTTGAGGAATCAAATGGCGTATGAGAAAAACATTATAGAAGTGAGGGGATAAACAGGTTAAAGCAGAGATTACATATAATAAAAATAGCTTAACATAAGTAAGAAATTAGTTGTGCTACCCTATCCCGACTCTAGAAAATCTCTGACAGAGTGACATGAACCGACAACCGCACGGATATGGATGACTCGTTGAGACCAGTGTTAGCATTGTTCTCAACATGCCAAATCATCCGGACCTTGTGCTCTGGCGCCCAGCGACGAAAACTCATTCTTCTCACTCCTACTCACTTCTTCTCTGACTACTACACATCAGATATGTAACCTCAGTGCCAAAGCTTGGATAAATTGACGTCACTTTACTCCACCCACTCTTAGACGGAATCAAGGAAGTACGAAAAAGTGATCTAAAAGTTGAAGACGTCCGATATTCAACGAAATTTTGATATATCATTGAGTTTTACATGAGAAAGAAGTGCTGAAACATTGAGAACAGAATGCATGTATGGGGCGAAGTGTACTTTGGTGCGAAATGCTACTGCTGACGAGGTGTCACAGATGGATCTTAAATAGGCTAATGAGGACAACAAAGAATTTGGACATCAGCATATTTTTAAAGACAAAGTGCAGTCATGTTGCAGTCCTGCAAGGCATCGGTCAAAAAAAATCTTAATTCTGTTCAAGTGACGTTTGTGATAGGAAGGGAATGCGTTAAATGCTAAAACAAAGCGTTGAAAAAATTAGCGAGAAACTTCAGACCAGGAAGTTTAGTTTTACAATAAAATCCATATTAAGCTCTCAAACCCTCCAGGGTTGTTAATTCCTGGCAAATTGAATATTGCTACACTTGTTACTTTTCCCATTTACATTCCACCTTCCCAGACTATATGATAATGAAAGGAAAGAAATTCTAGAAATCTGAAAATCATGGCATCGCTATTCTTCATTTAGAAAGAAACCTCTTCCTCTCATTATCAGTAGCATCTATAAAAGTGTTATGTGAATTAGGGATTATTGTGACCCCTTCCGGCCTCTAGTAGACCGTATGCCCTGGAATTCCAGGATGACGGAAAGTAAACAAAGCAATATGAATTTTTTGTTAGTTCAATTCTAAATGAGGTACTCTGAGTTGGGAAAAAGTGTGAAGAAAAAAGGTGATGAAAAAATTTGATACATTCCTACTAATTTGAAGGGACAGCATGGAAAATTACAATATTACCACCTATAATATCAAAATATCCGAAAGAGTGTACTTAACTATAAAATAGCATAGCTGAGCAAAGAACAAAGAAAAAAAACTAAAAAGGAAAGCAAGTCTACATTCGTATAAATTTGCTGCTACACATAGAATTTCGCTGATCTTTACGACTGTTCAATTACTAAAAGTAACAACTAGGATATTTCAATCTTAAGCAAATTTATGCGTTTTGCATATAAAATTGTAAACTTTAAATTAATTTTAAAAGTTTACATACAGTAGTGCTTAAAGTGAGTCGCTTCAAAGCCATTTGGGAATTGAATTACGAATTGCATAGAATGAGCTGATAACAAATAGGTCATTAGCTGAAAATAACTTGCTGCACCCACAGAATTTGAGCGAAAATATAGGATTCTCACATTATGTACATCAAGCCCATACCAAGATGGATTTTTGCCAAAAATTACGCACTATTTTGTCATCTTTTGAGTTGACAGCAGACGGGCTGTCAAAAAGATGACAAAAACTGATGGGCTGAAAGACCACTGCTCGTAAAGTTGTAGTGGTTTTATTGAAAGGAATCCTTTGCATGTATTTTTCATTTAATATTGCTGGATTTGAATATTTTAGGATTTTAACGTCAAACTATCCCTTAGCAAACGTGAAATTGTTAGAATCAGTCAAAAATTTCTTAAGGAATTCAAACCCTTAGAGGTTTCGTTTCAAAATTGCTGTGAGAAATCTTCTATTTCTTTTAATTTAAATGTATAAGGGGAAACATCCTGTGAACTCTCCACTTCGAAAGCCTGCAAAATGATGGATTTTTTGACAAATTCCTAAAAAATCCTTGTCATGGTCATATGTCTTTCGTACGGGTCAAATAGGTGAGTCTAAACGCAAGCAATGTATATTCCATAAACTTTAGGAAATAAAATTGGGACATCAAGCCATGTATCACACTAACGCTTTGCAATCCACTCTGTTCCCTAAAAAATCATTTTGAGAG